AATTTTGGGAATGATGAGGGCAACAAATGTATAGATGTGCTTTACACAATTGATCTATGTATTGTGATGAATTTTATGAGCCCCAATAAATTGATTTAAAAATAAATAAAATGAGGAAAATAATGACAGAAAAAAAAAGTAAAGAAAAATGTGTTATATATATTTTTATAGCAATAAAACTTCCCTTTGAGTAGTTTGCCAGGAACCTTTATGAAAAATGTGATGTAAATGTTATTAAAATGTTCATTTCACATCTATTGAGATTTTTCTCCCCTCTTAATTTGCTAGTGCAAAGAATTGTACTTTTTCCTTGTAAAGTTAAACTGGCCTTGCATTCCTGGAATAAAATCCACCTGATCATGAGGTATTATCCTTTTTATATTTTGTTGGTTTCAATTTGGTAATATTTTGCTTAGAATTTTTGTAATCATGTTTATGAGTTTGGTTTATCATTTTTCAAATGTAATTTTAATGGTACTCTCCTTGCTGGGTTTTGGCTCCTAGGTAATGTTAACATCATAAAACCTCTGAAAAATGTTTTCTATTGTCTGGAAAAGCCTGTGCAAGAGAGGAATCTTTCTTATTGGAATACTTGGCATAATTTATTTCTTGGCATCATTAGCTCAACCAGGAATGTTTGTATAAAGTTGGATGCAATGCATTCTTTCAGCCTTTGTTCAAAAACTTTGTTTTTCACCTTCACTTTTGATACTGCACTTGATCTTAGCCAAAAGGCCGAGAAGCGATTCGCATTCACTTTTGAATGTTTTCACTGGGAATAAAAGTTTTGGCTTACATTTTTCTTCTAGATTTTACAGATTTTTTTTCTACAACTTGCGTAGGTTCTAATGAGAAATCTGCTGTTAGGCTGGGTTTTCTAGAGAAGCAAAACCAGCAGCAAAACCAGCACTGCTTGTATGCGTATCCAAAGACATTTATATCAAGAAAGTGGCTCACGCAGTTGTAGAGATATATAAGTCTAGTGCGGTTCAAGTCTGTCAGATGTTCATTTAAAACTGGAAGCTTTCCTTGACTCATAGCTGCCAGGGCAGATAAAGCAAGAAGATGAACCCAGAAACAGGAAAGCCTCAGGTTGGTGGAGGTAGACACAGATGAATCCAAGGTGAGCAAGTCTGGGTCTTGTCTGCAGAGTCTAATGAATCCAAAGTTGATGGGCAATATTGCTGATAACTCCCAGGGTTAGCAAGCGATACAGCAGGCTGCTGGCTTAAGTCCAAAGTGGAGGTTGCTGAGACAGAAGAGACAAATCTTCCCACAGAGTCTGCTTAAATAGTGGTATGTCACACCTCCAGTGAATGTACTTCCAGTTACAACTGGGCTCTGTCTAATCCTCCATAATGGCCTGGTTGCTCCCAGAGGATTCCATCATGGAGTTATTTACATTATGCTACATCTCATGGGGAGGCCTCAACTGCCAGGTACTGAACATTCCGGCCCAGCCAGATTGACACAATAGCTGATTATCACATCAGCGATTACCTTTTCCTCTGTAATCCCTGTTTCTTATTATTAGCTGCCTTTAAACCTCTTCATTGGTGTTCAGCAGTGCAACTTTGTGGTGTGTGTGTGTGAGGTATTTATGCTCCTTTGGGTTATCTGAACTTCCTGGATTTGTGGTTTGACTTGTTAATTTTGGAAAATTAGTAACCATTATATCTTTAAGCAATTCTTCTGCAGTATATTCTTAGTCTTCAGGGACTCCAGCTGCACATCTAGTAGACTATTTGGTGTTGTCTCACAATCCTTGGATACTGTTTTCTTTCAGGTTTTTGTCTCAGTAAGATCTATCGACTTATCTTCAAGATCACTGATTCATTCTTTCCTCACTGATTCTTTCCAGTCTGCTGTAAGTATTCCATCGAAGGTGTTCTTCACTCTGATATTGTGCTTTGTTATTTGCTTCTCTGTTGAAATTAGGTTTGTGTGTTATTAATAGTTCCAACATCTGGGCTGTCTTTGGTTCTGTGCTTTCTTTTTCTTGCTTTGTTTGCTGTATACATTTTGACTGGATGTTTGTCACCAAGTAGGGAGAAACAGAACTTTTAAAAAACACTCAAACCTGAAGACACTCCTCATCCTCTTTAGTGTTAGAAGTTTAAACCATTCTAGTCAGTAGTTGATGTGGGTTTGAGCTTTGTTGTGGTTATAGTTACTGTCAGTGTCTCAAAGACTGAAACTTGCTCCAGTGGTGACCCACTGCTGCCTTTGTTGTGGTTCAGTGGTTTACTTGACAAATATACAAAGGAACTACTGAGCAAAGGCCAGTCCCCAATGATTTACTTGATATGGCTCTTTGTAACTCCCACTAAGAAGATAAACAAAAAACTGCATGGGCCTATGCAGTTTGGTGTAGTTCCTCTTTCCCTGATCAGTGTGGCTAAGAGGCGGTAGAGAAGTTGATAGGATTATATGATCCAGTTGTGATTATTAACAGGGTGCATTATAGTTGTAAAAACTTGCAACTCAAAATGTGGTGATAGGTCAATTTTGCTATCTTACTGGGTTTAAAAGGTGCCACCTGAGAAGCATAACAGGGATCCAGCATCAGGTGGAGGGCGACCTGTGCACTGAGCCCCCTCTATCGAGGGACAGAAAGCTGTGACACCAGATGAGCGGTAGCAGCAGACCCAAGAGCTAGAGCATGAGACAGAACAGTGGACTTCTTGGCCTATCGAGCAAGTGAAGCCGAGTGCTTTGGGGCAGGAGCCATGCTAGAGGAGCAGGTGCACTTCATTTGGGAGGTAGGTTTGCTGATCCAAGAAGCTCCAGCCAATTGCCTTTAGCCTGAGACTGAGGGTAGACTGGCATATCCTTGGGCATTAAACAGCAGCACTAAAGTTTGGAGCTTTTAACACATGCCCAAGGAACAGAGCCAACACCTGTCTACTTTCTCTAATAGCTTTTTGGAATCTAATTAATCTCACTCTTCTGGAGTAAAAGTATTCAGTCAAGTAGAAATCATGCATGTATTCTCCAAATAGTTAATGGGTTCTCTCAATACTCGAAGAATCTGTCCTTTCCTCGTGTTGCATGAAATGCTTTTAACAAGTTTACAGGATGTGTCATTTTGATGCATTTCAGTTTCTTCAATGAAACCTACAGAAACTGTTTACATTTACCCCCTACCATTTATGCTGACTTTTCTCCATTTAATGAGACAAATAGATACACAAATTCATTTTCTTCTCAGCCTTCTAATCTTGAAATTCTGTGTGGTATACCTATATCTATGGATACGTGTCAATTTGATGTGAATTTAAATTTGAGTATTAATCCCAGTAAACTGGTTTCATTCATGAAAGCATTACTTCCATAATATAGTAAAAAAACTCTTAGAAAGTACACATTAAATCTGCAGACAAATAATGCAGCGGCGATTGTCATAAAGACTGACCCAAGCAACATTGAACCCAGTTTCTCGAATGCTGTGTTAAATATTACAAATTAAAAAAAATTAAACAAATTTTGTTAGTATATTTTTTAATAAGTTACTAATGTATACAGTAGTTGTTTATAAATAGTCGTTTTTAAAAGAAAATGTGTGATTTCATTCACTTGTCAATTTGACATGTATGATAGGTATGTAAGAAATGGTGGTAAACCTAGTATTAATGATAAAAGCCTATTTGGGATCTGCATCTGGCCTTTCTTATAGTAACCTATCCATTTTCTAGCACCAGAAATTACTTTTATTTTTATACTGTCATATTTTGTTTTTTAAATAATATACTGTATTTCAGGGGCTGTAAAAAAGTAAATAATGAAATCTAATAAAAGCACTAGGATAAAGAAAGCTCTTGTCTTTTTCATGCAAATATTCCCAAACATCTCTCTTATCTCCATGTTTTCTGAAGGAAACACATTCAAGCATTCTAGGCATAAAACAGTAACTGATTCAAGTAACTTTCTAGTAAAACAGGGAGAGGCCCTAAGAAACCACCACAGGCACGTGGTGCATAGTTAACATATTTTTTAAAAAAACCAATTTTTATTTGAATTAAACGTATTGTGCTAACATCATTGCTATTAATGTTCCCCATTGCATACACAACTGGGAAATGTAAATCAACAAGTATCGATCCGACTATGGACACAACACGCGGCTTGAGTGGTCCTTTTCACAATTGCACAAGGATCAGGCACTTGGCCCCCTGGTCTTGGAGCCATTGGTGGCCGACCGGATTCCGACCTAGGGTGAGGGAACATAACGGCATGCGGGGGTAGCCGCAGCCTGCTCAGACCCCATGGAACGCGGTCCCTTCTAAAGGCGGACACTGGCCAATAAACTTCACAAAACCAACAAAAGTTCTTTCCATTTCCGCACATTCTGGTCCACTGAGCTTGGAAACCAGCTTGGGGCCCGGGCGGGCTGTTTTCCTGGGACACAAGGTAGGCAGGACCAACGGAAACAACAGAACGGCACCTTCGCCGCCTGTCTACGCGGAGCTCTCCAGCCGCGCCCGATCTCGCGGTCCCCCGCCGACCTCCAGTCTCGCGAGACCACGGGTCCTCGGAAGGCCCAGCCCGCCCTTCGCGCGCGCTGGTCACGCTCGCCGCCTAAAGTCCGGGCGCGGAAGTGCCCTTGTGGTCCCACCTGCCGTCGCTCTGAAAAGCACCCACATTCAACCCCGAAAGCGGGACCTGGCCCCGCTATGGACGGGCAGCGGGGCCTCGGAGGCCAGGCGACCCTCCCGCTCGCCCACGCGCATTTCGAGAAGGGCGAATATGCCGAGGCCGAGGCGCTGTACTCCGCGTACATCTGCCAGCGCGACCGGCCAGCCTCAGGAAGAGCGGGTCCCGGAAGGTAACGACCGCGCCCCCGGAGGCTGCCGCCCTCCCGCGCGTGCGCACCGAGTTGATCTAGCGCCTTGGCCACCTGCCGGGGCGCAGAGCGCAGGCGCAGCTGTTCGGGTGCCCGCTCTACGGCCGGAGGGGCCGAGAGCCCCAGAGAAGCCGTGAGCGGGGCCTGCGGTGCGGGCGCGGCCGCCGCCGCCCGCCGCCCGCCGCCGTTACATATGTCCGGATACAGACCCACCGCGTGATTAGGGCTTCCCCACCCGTGTTCGTAACGATCCGAGACGCGCAGCAAAAACACAACTCCCACGCCCATTGTTATTAATGGAAAAAATATTAGAGAGGACAGTATTAGAAAAAAGGTATAACTACACCATTGTCCTTAGGTAATTCCTGAAGTTCAAATAGCTAGTCGCTGGTGGAACCTTTCTGATTGACCCAAAAGGTGAATTTTTGTTTGCTTTCTGTTTGTTTTTAGCCTTGGTTCAAATCAGGATGCACATTAGGTTTCTTTTAAGCTGGACGCCTCAGCCAGCTCCTGCCTTGTGTGCGGATGTGTTTATTTGTTGATTAAGCCCTGTGTCCCATGTTTTGGAAGCACTGCAGCACCTCCCTCTGATCATTTCAGGTGGTCCAATGTCTCTATTGTTTGTGAATTGCTGGTTAAATCTTGGGGCTTAGTTGGGTTAAAATGTAATATTTCAGGACTACTGTTAAAAATAATCCAGATTTCGAAATTTGCACATAAGTTTTATGCTGGACAGTTACTCCGTATGCATGTGTCAGGAGACGATTTTGAATCTGGAAAAAAGCAAATGGGTTGGAGAAGCTCATACAATGAGGTGTATAAGGAGAGGAGGCGGGAGAAATGTGGACGATTGAATTGGTTGATCTTGACGTGATCCATCGATGGAACCCTGCCCTCCCTCCTTTACTGAGATCCAGCTGGTCATGAGGTGGCCTCTGCCCTCCACTCAGCCTTGTTTTTTGAAATTCACATTCAGCAGGGCTGGATATTAAGAGGAAAAAAAGAGGACTTGCAACTTTCGGTGAGGGCAAAATGCTAGCAGGAATACTTTTGGCCAGGAATTTTTTTTAGTGTAAGAAAACCCCCAAATCGAAGCAAGTATCTGTTATCAATTTTCCTCTTAGGGAGGACTTTGTGGGAGCCACTGTTGTCTGGGTGCCACTTTTTGTCATGTTAACTAGCCTAAGGGAAAACGTGTCTGCCTATAACATCTTGGGGCTAAGCCTGAATGTGTAGCATTTGGCGTTAGTTCATATTTGCCTTTGTTGTGCTGGCTGATGGGCAAAGGGTGACAGAAAACACTGGGAGATTGAAGGTACAACCTTCGCGACAGTCATCCTCTCCCTATGAAGATTTTTTTTTAAAGCAATGCCAGCTTTGTATTGAAAATGAACATATAACCAACCAGCCAAACTCAGTGCCCTCAAATCCATTCCAACTCATAGGACAGGGTAGAACTGCCCGTGTGGGTTTCCCAGACTGCCCACAGCCCTCGTCCTTCTCTGCGGAGTTGCTGGTGATTTTGAACATCTGGCCTTGCCCAATATTAGGTTAGTGATTGGATTCTTATACTTATCCTTGTGGAATTAAACCAGGAAAATAAAATGCTTTCGTATTTTAGTAATACACCAGAATTATAGGTTTGTGTGCACCTGTAAAAGTCTATAATTCCTACTTACTTCCGTGTGTGAGTGAGAGAATAGTAAACATAGAAAAATTAGTTTCTACCTTTGTTTCTAGGATAAGTCTATTTTAAGAGTAGACTTAGTGGATTTCAAAAACAGTCATCAGCAACTGGCATCTTGGTGCTTTGCAGTCTTACTGTGCTTCTTTGTCCATCTCAACCAAGGGCACAGGGCCTGTTTCTAGCAAGTATGATTTCCGCCCCTCTCCAGCCCAGGGAAGACCATCTGCTGTGGTTTAATAGAAGGGAGGTCAGCATGTTTAAGCTGCAGCCCTGGCTGTGCCACAGGCTGGTAACTTTCACAGCCTCAGTTTTGCACCTGTAAAACCCTCAATTTGCTTATACTTCTGAAACTCGTCTGGGAGCTAGTGGATTAAAACAGAATTCTGCCAAGTCCATCCTTTTTTTTTCTCCCTTAAATAATCTTTTAGAGTTTGAAAATACATTTGAAATATTGGCTCATTGAAACATTGTGGAACATTATTTGCAGTCTGTGAACAGCTTTCCTTCTGCATGGTTTATAACATTTTCTTCTCATTGAAAACTTTATCTGAGCATGAACATAATTTCCTTTTTAGGGTTGGGGTTAAAATGCTGAAAGTCTATATTTGAATAGATAACTAGGTTAAATTCCATTCTACTAAGTACTTTCATTACACAAACTCAGGATTACAATTTCTTCTTAAATTGTTAACCTATGTCTTTTAAATTATGAAACAAAATGTCAGAGTGAGAGGTAGTGCTTTCAATTTATGGATTTCTAACTCTGACATTTTATCCTCTGAATATAGGAGTGTCTAAGTTCAGGTGATGAGACATATAATGACTAAAATCTTGTGAGAGTAGCACGGCTGATTTTCCTTCTGATTCGGCCCTGGGCAGCAGCACAGCTGGTATGAAGACTTTGCAGCTAGCTGTGGGGCGCATCCGCTCCCGTGTTCTACGCCTTTACTGTGGGGCCAGCGGCACCCAGAAGCCTCCTTGCACCGCAGTTGTGGTTCACAGAACAGAAACGGTCGCGAGTTGCAGCTATTCTGCCCTTGCCCTGTTCCTTAGTGAACTTGGCCTGAAGGAGACAGACCCTGGGCTGTGAGTAGCCTCCTTAGGGCGCAGTGGGTACTCCCATCTTTAAGGACAAGGATAAGGAAGTTAAACAAGTGGCTTTGCATGTGTGCTGTCACAAGTAACTTCTGAGCCAGTGGTTCTCAACCTTCCTCATGCCGCGACCCTTTAATGCAGTTCCTCATGTTGTGGTGCCCCCCCCTAACCATAAAATTATTTGCATTGCTATTTCATCACTGTCATTTTGCTACTGTTATGAATTGGGCAACCCCTGTGAAAGGGTCGTTCCATCCCCAAGGGGGTCGCGACCCACAGGTTGAGAACCACTGTTCTAAGCACTGCTTTGCATTAAGGGGTATAGCAAAGAGACCATAGATACATTAGCATAATCTGATCGCAGTTCAAAGCCACTAGCAGGTCCGCATGAGAAAGACGAGGCATTCTACTCCTGTAAACATTTTACAGTCTTGGAGACCCACGGTGGGTGGCTCTGAGCGAGCATCGAGTCGATGGCAGTGAGTGAGATCAAAAGAAAGACAAGCCGAACCAGCTCTGATGCAGAACAGAACCTAGAATGTTCTCCTGTGAAGATGGTTTGCCCTCTGCAAAGGACAGTCCTTTGGCTGTGACTGTTGAGTCATGTCTGGTCAGAGCTTCAGGGAGAGTGCTTGTGCAGGCAGAGCTCCGTGGGCTGAGCCTGGTCCTTATGTGGACACACAGGCCTCCGCTGTGAACCGCCTCCGTCACCCAGTGGGAAGTTTCCTGGCCTTGGGGAAGATGCCCACAGGAGCCATCCCTAGAGAGCATGCCCTGGGATCCACATGCTGACGTTTCTCCTAAATCTAACTCGCCTATTTCTTTGTTAGGGGAAAATGACTCCAAATCTCATTGCTTCATGTCACTTCACACAGTGCAGCCTTGTCACAAGTATACCTTCGTTTGTGCAATTCATAAGCCTGAAAGCAATATGTCTTTATAGGAGCCAGCTGTTCATGATCGTTTTGGCTTGAAATAGCCCGTCAGCAAATTGACTGAAATAAAACTGGTAATTCACTTTATGACATTTCCACAGCAAACCTGACCTTTGGGCTGGTTTTCCTTCCTTGCTCATCATGTGTCAGACCTGTCTCTGCTGGTGTGTGATGAGAAAACAGACAGTCCTCGTAACACCAGCCACACGGGTCATCTCCTCGGCGTTGAGCAGGGCTTCCAGTCTGCTGCACAGCGTGATTGACCGGACTCTCCCGCACACGTAGATGCGGTTGGCATGGCTTCCTCTGTGCTCTTTGTTAACAGCTATCACTTGGGTTTTCGATGTTGGTCCTACATATTACAGCTTGCCAGTCCTCCAAGGAGACTGAAAGAGGAAACGAGATAAATTTGGTAACATGGTGTTTTTAACTCGAACTTTCTGTTTAAAGCAAATGCTGCCCTGAGGATTTGGCTACTGCGTATAACAACAGGGGGCAAATCAAGTACTTGAGGGTTGAGTTTCACGAAGCCATGGACGACTACACATCTGCCATAGCCGCCCAGCCCAATTTTGAAGTTCCGTATTACAACCGAGGGCTGGTACTGTACAGGCTAGGTAAGGTGCTGGTCGTTTTCCTTCTCCTTTGCCGTTGCCCTTGACCGTGTTTTAGAGCTCTGATGTTATGAGGGTGCTAATCATCAAGTCCTTCAGTTACATGACATTTTCGCTGAGATTCTGTAACAAAGGAAGTGGGCCTGAGTTTATTTTAGGCTTTCCCTCGGCGGCACAGCACATGCTGGGTGGGAATTGGACCTGGCCGCTGGGAAGCACGACCCCATTACCTGTGCCTGTGCGTTCCCAGCTGCGAAATGAGGGTAATGCACCTGTGAAACTTCTCACTTACCATCTCGGAAGACACCTGAGACAATACTTAACGAAAGGGTTTCACATCCTTGAATTCGAGGGTCTCCAGTTACTCTTTCCTCTCATTTAAAGAGTGAAGAAGAAAAATAACTCCCTGTTTTCCAATTTCAGCTGCTATTTTGTAAACCACATGATCGAATTTTGTTGATGGTTGATCATGATTTTGGCTGCTCAGGTGTTAAATCTCTAAAAATAAACCCATAACCTATTTTAGCCATTTTTGTCTAAAGGCACATAGAATTACTGTGACAGACATAATTATTAAAAGAAGTTTTTTTCTTTACTAAAAGCATAGTTGGGAGTTCAGTAAGTATAGAAGCAACATGTTATGTATCCAAACTGCTGTGAGTGAGTAAGAGAAATACTCAAGGCCTTTCCTCTCTCTCTGGATTCTTGTACAGGATATTTTGATGAGGCTTTGGAAGATTTCAAGAAAACATTACACATAAATCCTGGATTTCATGATGCCGTTTTGAGTTTAAAACAAACTCTTCTTGACAAAGAAGAAAAACAAAGAAGAAATTATTGAAAAAGTACTGAAATTTTTAACTTAATTGATCCTTATGCCTGCATCCAATTGTTTCAGATTTAGCATAGGTAGTAACCTATTTTGATTTATATGTCAGATAACAATATTCATACATTAGCACTGAAAGGTAAATAATGTGAGGTAGTTTCAAATATAGGAAATATTTGCTAACTAGATATGCTTTTTATAAGCATATGTGATGCCAATGTATAATTATGAATGACTATTAAGAAAATACTTAAAGGAATGTATGATGTATTCAGTGAAACATTTATTTTTGCCAATTTTTTCTTGTAAACATTTTACATTTACAGAAAAAGTGAGAGAAAAATACAACAAATGCCTGTAAGCGCTTCACTTACGAAATTTGATAGTTGACATTGTATCATACTTGCCTTTCCTTTTGTAATTTAAATATGTAGCTGCTTTTTGCTGAAGTACTTGAAAATAAATTATAGAGATCTGCAAAGCTTCACCTGAATGTTTTCAATTTACGTCTTCTAAGAACAAAGGCAGTTTCTTAAAATAATGGCATTGTGATACTTGATAATAGTTCTGTAATGCCATCTAGATCCTGTCCAGTCTTGTTTCCACAGTTGTTCTCAAACTGTACAGATTCTTATTTCTGATCCAGAGCCAGTCATGCTTCGATGCACTTCATTGTTCTGTTCCCCTGAATTCTTTCAGTTTCGAACCAATCCTTTCCCACTTACTTCTCCCCTGGGCATTCACTTGGAGAACAAGATATTTTATATAACTCAGTCAGAACTGAATCGATGGCCATAAGTTTAGTGAGAAGATAGAGACATATGACCTTTGGGCTTACAAAAAATGTTTTCTATGTGAATAGACCATATATGTATCCGAGAAAGCATGTCAAAATAATTTACCTTACTCTTTTCTTTAAAACTCATCGCCGACAGGCTAATATTTAAATATTGAAAATAGTTTCATTTTTCTGAACGACTATATGTAATATTAAAATTTGCTGAATACGTACTCCAAGGCAAACACTATTTAAAACTCTGTAATAATGCATTGGGGGTTGAGTGGGAATGGACAGAGGAACGATGAAAAGCCCTCAGTGGATACGAAGCTTTTAAAAGACGGCTTTTATTCGGGTGTCACAAAATACTGGGACAGTTAGGGTTTCGCTATCGAGAATGGGAAAGAACTTGAAACACAAGCCCCAGCTGGCCATGCACGCTCAGCGCGACCTTGTTCTTGTGATTTGTCTTTCAAAGACCTGAGCCTGCTTCTCTGGAGGGCTCACGCTAGTTTATGACTGCAGTGGGGGGCTTGTGGGGATGGATGGAGGTGACCTGACTTGGGGGAACATCTGTTTGCCCGGAATGTGTCTCCCACAGGCAGGCTCGGAGGACCTTCCGAAGCCGCGTCAGGTATTCCCCATCGTGAATCCTAATTTTTTTCTTTTAGTTTAAATGATCTCATGAAGCAGGAAAAAATATGGAACCGCCCTGCTTGTAGTTAATAAATAATGCCTGGCAAGTACTTGAAGACTTTGGGCTGCAGGTGTATGTATAGTAAGAGGAAATTAAGTTTGATGGTCTGAAAACAGTCTAGATTTCTCGAAGTATTCACATTTCCCAGCATGATTTATCTTTCCATTTGTTGGAAATGTCTTTAAAGGAATTAATAAAGTTGCTGTAAAATGTTGAAGAATCCTTAAGACAACTGCCCCCCCCCCCTTTCCTTTTCTCTTTTTAAAGCTCCCTGGACCTTGGGAGAACTTAAAGCTATTCCGCCCAGAAAATCCAATACTTTAATCACTTTATTTTCTTTTGGCTCACACTCATCTCTTTACTCTTGCCTGGGATCAGATGTAAGATGAAAAAATAAAAACGTGTTAAGAAAAATTTCTCTTGGCCTGCTGGATTTTATTATTCAAAATGACTTCATCCTTTTCTAGAGATGGGGCTGGTGGGGGTGTGGGGAGGTTCAAAATCACCACTTGCAGACTAGGAACCCAGGCATTTATTTTCTCAAGTTCCTGGAAATATTTTTAAAAGAGCACATTTTCCGCATTTGTTTCCGTCAGCATGAGATGGTGAAATAATCTAGCTCGTGCACCTGGCATGTGCCTTCAGGGTCTTTCCCACTGACGTTCCTGGGTTGTCTGTCTGCCGGTGGCTCGCTGGCCCCCCAGCGTGACTCTGCCCTGATCCTGGCCCTGTCGTTTTGCACATCTTTAAGTCCTCCTCAGTGGGAATTACATGCTTCAGTCTTCTCACCCCCCACAAACGAAGCCCGCATCCACACATGCTGTTTGCAGTATGTCCACAAACTGCCAGATGCGGCCCCCTGAACAATGCAAGTTTCACTCACTTACACCGATACCTCACTTAGTGGTTTTAGTTCATCCTTGAAAACCTTTCCACAAAGTGAAATGCCATTATATGAAAAAGAGAGGGGAAAAAAGGTTTGCATTACTTTTTATTGGAAAAAATATGAATTCGCTTTCAATCCAGGATACCCAAATAATTCTCACAAAATATAGCAGTCGAGTTTACAGAAGTAATAAACAACTTGAAGGTAAATGCTCCACATATTGGACTCGCATAAAAGTCCATTATGCTCATTTTCCATACCATTTAGGAGACTGCTTCATTCAGATTCAGATTTCATACAAGTCACCCCTTTCAAATGTACCATTCAGTGATTTTTTACTGTACTCGCAGAGCATTTTGGTATGCCCATTTTCAAACTCCTAGGGTCTTGCAGTATTTGAGGCAAAATGTTCTTAATAATCATAAGATTATAATGCAGAAAACCACCTTTAGGTAAATTAAAGACTAAATATGACAGTACTTCAAAACACTTAATAGTGCGTGCCCTAAACAGATTGAAGAGCCTTTTCTGGGTTCATCCAAATAAGGAGCATGATTTGCATTTGTTTTATGTGCTATTCTTTGGCTTGGAGCTCAAGTGAGCAAAGTGGGACGGTATGTCTTTGCCTGAAACGGTATGGTGAAATAACCTTACAGCATATTTATTGTTTAATCGGGGAAAAAGGATGTGAACAAACCAATAGAAGACCGATTGTTGACAGAAATGTGGTTTAACTTCTCAAGAGCCTCTGACAAGGGCTGTCCAGTCAGATCCACGCGGAACGAACAAAGCTGCCCGGTCCTGTGCCATCCTCAGCACGTTCTGGTGGAGCCCATCGCGGCAGCCGCTGTGCCAGAACATCTCCACGAGGGTCTTCCTCTCGCTGCCCTTCCACTTTCCCCAGCACCAGGTCCCCTCCCAGGGCCTCAGTCCCTCCTGCTCACCTGACCAAAGAACTCCGGATGACGACTCAGGCGCCTCACCTCTCAGGCACACTCTAGTGCTTCTTCCTCCAAGAGAGATGTGTGCATTTTTCTCGCAAACGAGAGTGAGGCTAATTTTTAACAGGAGGAACCAGAGGCTTAGAGAGATCCAGTAACTTTCCCCGAATTCCATAGAAACATCTGATACTGCAAATAGCATCAGTAATTTGTGTTACACTCCACTAAAAGCAGAGGTGATGGATGAATTTTTTCCTGATAAAAATTGGAATCACCCACAGATTGCTAAAAAAAACAAAACAAACAGTACAGGGGAGTAACGAAACTTCTTTTATCACGGGTCATCACTACAGTTGTTGCTGATTATTTTCCATCCTGATTAAAAATAGGCACGCGAGAGGGTGAATATGCTAAATACAAAGAACAAATTCTGTTTGTAAGATTGTAAGCCTCTGCCAGCATATAGCACGGTATCTTACTGTTTGGTAACAGTCCCCAACATTGAGAAATGCCCCAAAGGACGATGGCGTGTCCCTTCAACAGCAGCACACACTGGAGGCGCCCCAGCCCTGGCCCCAGGCCGCTGAGTCCCGAGGTCCTAGTCTTTCGCTTCCTGTGTATCCGTGATTGGGCCCAGGCTCCGGAAGGCTACATGTTATTCGCAGAAAAGATGTTCCTGAAAGTTATGGACATGAACCAGTTATGTGTCTAGCCTAGAAATGTTATTTTAAATTATTCCTTCACTGATTAGATGGGCCCAGTTTCTCAAATGCTCACATCATCCTATTGGTTACCTCTCACATGAGCTAGACAGTTGTGATGTGTCCATTCTGGGTTTTAGAAAATTGTATTTTGGCATATCTTATAAAAACGAAAGATAGGTGTACTCGTGTAGTCTCCCAAACTTTGTCATCATAAAGGGACTTAAGTTATTGCTTGCAGGAGTAAGAGATAAGGGGAACTGACTTTTCCTCTCTTTTTCTGTTACCGAATTCTTTAAAAGGGTAAAAAAAAGATGAGGTTTGGATTATGAGGTGGTTTCGTTGGCTTCTAGCTAAAGTAAAATATAAGAAAAGCCTTCAACTTAGATGGGGGAGGAAACATACTGCTGCTTTGAAAAGTAGGCACAAACTCTAGGAGAGTATGAATGAAAAGAATTAAAATTAAGTAAGTGCTTCCCTCATGGGGGCCCTTCCCCTTCTCATTTAACAGGAATAAACCAAACTAGACCCACCGTTATTGAGCTGATTCTGACAGAGACCCCAGAGGATAGAAAAGAACTACCCCACAGTCTCCAAGGCTGTAAATCTTGACCAAAGCAGACTGTCAGGTCTTTCTCCTGCAAACCCGGGGTGGGCTCAAACTGCCAATCTTTTGTTTAGCAGCCAAGTACTCTGGCCTCTCTGCCACTCGGGCTTCTTTTAATAATAACCACTTTAAAGTTTATATCTATCCTTCCAGCCCTGCTTTCTATGTACAGACACACCCACAGATGTAGACGTGTGCATGAATAGAATTTTGCTTATTCTATCACTAGTAATTAAAAAAATAGTTTTGGGGCAGTCTTTCATTTAAGAACACAGAGATTTACCTCATTTTGCTTAGATTCACAATTGTCTAAGCCACATTAAAAGTCCTTGCCGGTCCTGTTATAAATGAATACGTGTCTATGGTAATAAAAACAGCCCCCAAAAGCCAAACCGTGCCATTGAGCCAATGCAGACTCACAGCGACCCTGCAGAACCGAGTCGAAGTCCCTCTGTGGGTTTCTGGGGCTGCAGATCTCAATGGGAGCAGACAGCCTCTTAAGATATAAAATGAAATCCTCCTTCCCCCGAATTCCCTTCAGAGATAATGGCTTTTAGCAACTAGAAACAAGGCTAAAAAGGCTTGCTCTCCGCTCTCAGTGAGTCCCCTGATGATTGTCATTTTACTTCTATTCACGGCCTTTGTAGCTCTGTCCGCTGTAGGCAACTTTGACTAGTTTGTATGAAGAATCTCTCTAAATATATCCTTTTGGTACCACATTTTATTTGAAACAATTTCCACTTAATTGGAAGGCTCTTTTTTTTTTTTTTTTTTTTTAAAGATTACAGAGTTGATACAGCTCATGTTTAACACACCCAAACAGCTCTCTGCCTCCTGGGCAGCTGGCTCTTCCAGAGTCTGCCCACCCAGTTAATGC